TATCCAGTGAACTGTGATTTATCATGACATCCGGTAAACTGGTGATTTATCATGGCATCCAGTAAACTGGTGATTTATCATGACATCCAGTAAAATGGTGATTTATGGTAATATCCAGTGAACTGTGATTTATCATGACATCCAGTAAACTGGTGATTTATGGTAATATCCAGTGAACTGTGATTTATCATGACATCCAGTACACTGGTGATTTATCATGACATCCAGTAAACTGGTGATTTATCATGGCATCCAGTAAACTGGAGATTTATGATGACATCCAGTAAACTGGTGATTTATGGTAATATCCAGTGAACTGTGATTTATCATGACATCCGGTAAACTGGTGATTTATCATGGCATCCAGTAAACTGGTGATTTATCATGACATCCAGTAAACTGGAGATTTATGATGACATCCAGTAAACTGGTGATTTATCATGACATCCAGTAAACTGGTGATTTATCATGGCATCCAGTAAACTGGAGATTTATGATGACATCCAGTAAACTGGTGATTTATGGTAATATCCAGTGAACTGTGATTTATCATGACATCCGGTAAACTGGTGATTTATCATGGCATCCAGTAAACTGGTGATTTATCATGGCATCCAGTAAACTGGAGATTTATGATGACATCCAGTAAACTGGTGATTTATCATGACATCCAGTAAACTGGTGATTTATCATGGCATCCAGTAAACTGGAGATTTATGATGACATCCAGTAAACTGGTGATTTATGGTAATATCCAGTGAACTGTGATTTATCATGACATCCAGTAAACTGGTGATTTATGGTAATATCCAGTGAACTGTGATTTATCATGACATCTGGTAAACTGGTGATTTATCATGGCATCCAGTAAACTGGAGATTTATGATGACATCCAGTAAACTGGTGATTTATGGTAATATCCAGTGAACTGTGATTTATCATGACATCCGGTAAACTGGTGATTTATGGTAATATCCAGTGAACTGTGATTTATCATGACATCCGGTAAACTGGTGATTTATCATGGCATCCAGTAAACTGGAGATTTATGATGACATCCAGTAAACTGGTGATTTATGTTCATATCCAGTGAACTGTGATTTATCATGACATCCGGTAAACTGGTGATTTATGGTAATATCCAGTGAACTGTGATTTATGGTAATATCCAGTAAACTGGTGATTTATCATGACATCCGGTAAACGGTGATTTATCATGGCATCCAGTAAAATGGTGATTTATGGTAATATCCAGTGAACTGTGATTTATACTGACATCCGGTAAACTGGTGATTTATGGTAATATCCAGTGAACTGTGATTTATGGTAATATCCAGTAAACTGGTGATTTATCATGACATCCAGTAAAATGGTGATTTATCATGACATCCAGTAAAATGGTGATTTATCATGGCATCCACTGAACTGGTGATTTATCATGTTATCCAGTAAACTTGTGATTTATCGTAATATTCAGTAAACTGGTGATTTATCGTAATATCCAGTAAACTGGTTATTTATCATAATACTCAGTACAATGGTGATTTATCGTAATATCCTGTGGAATGGTTATTGTAATCTGGCCCGTGTTGTAAAGAGCTTTGAGAGATCAGTGGCCCAGAAGATCTCTGTGTAAATGCAGTACTTTAGGTACTTTAATTATTTACTAAGACCACATAACTCTTCATTTATCTTTTTTTCATGTCTGTGTTCATCCTTGATTATCTATTCTTCTTTTTCTTCTTCTTCTTCTTTATCTTCTTCTTCTTCAGGACCCATCGACCTGTCCAGTCATGACTTCCTGCTCGGCCTGATGGGTACGTTTCTCTTATGACAGCCTGAATTTTCGAACTGAGCGAGGGAGCTTCAGCGCCTCACTTCCTGTTTCCTATCCCCTTCAGCACCTTCTACCTATTAATCTAGGTGTGATCAGTACAGGTGTGATCAGTACAGGTTTAATGAGTACAGGTGTGATCGGGTTTGAATAGTACAGGTGTGAACAGTACAGGTGTGATCAGTACAGCCAGGAACACTAACAAACCAGCGGTATCGACGATCCTGGCAAACAACCCCACAGAGGTTAAATAGCTGAGTTTCCCTCCCAGTCAGTCAGAACTGAAGAAGTCCTTTGGATGAGGGACGGAACATCTTCTATTCTCTTCAACCAAGTCCAGTTGCCCTCGACTTTAACCTGCTTTGGATAACTATGACCTGGATGAGAATCTTCACAGACATACAGGTACAGGTGTGATCAGTATAGGTGTGATCAGTACAGGTGTGATCAGGTTTGATCAGTACAGGTGTGATCAGTTGTGATCAGTACAGGTGTGATCAGTACAGGTGTGATCAGTACAGGTGTGATCAGTTGTGATCAGTACAGGTGTGATCAGTACAGGTGTGATCAGTACAGGTGTGATCAGTTGTGATCAGTACAGGTGTGAGCAGTACAAATGTGATCAGGTTTGATCAGTACAGGTGTAATCAGTACAGGTGTGATCAGGTGTGAGCAGTGCAAATATGATCAGGTTTGATCAGTACAGGTGTGATCAGTACAGGTGTGATCAGTTGTGATCAGTTGTGATCAGTACAGGTGTGAGCAGTACAAATGTGATCAGGTTTGATCAGTACAGGTGTGATCAGGTGTGAGAAGTACAAATGTGATCAGGTTTGATCAATGCAGGTGTGATCAGTACAGGTGTGATCAGGTGTGATCAGTACAGGTACAGGTGTGATCAGGTGTGATCAGTACAGGTGTGATCAGTATAGGTGTAATCAGTACAGGTGTGATCAGGTTTGATCAGTACAGGTGTGATCAGGTGTGATCAGTATAGGTACAGGTGTGATCAGTACAGGTGTGATCAGTATAGGTGTGATCAGTACAGGTGTGATCAGGTTTGATCAGTACAGGTGTGATCAGGTGTGATCAGTACAAGTGTGATCAGGTTTGATCAGTACAGGTGTGATCAGGTGTGATCAGTATAGGTACAGGTGTGATCAGTACAGGTGTGATCAGTATAGGTACAGGTGTTATCAGTACAGGTGTGATCAGTATAGGTGTGATCAGTACAGGTGTGATCAGGTTTGATCAGTACAGGTGTGATCAGGTGTGATCAGTACAAGTGTGATCAGGTTTGATCAGTACAGGTGTGATCAGGTGTGATTTGATTTCCTCTGTTTGTTTTTGTTCTGACAGGTCACATGACTCCAGTCACTCAGCTAGACTCTACAGGTGTGATTTTCTTTCCTTCCACTTCTGGGGCCTGTTCATGAAGTAAAAAATTAAGCATTATTGATCAGTTATGATCAGCTGTATTATTGATACGTTTGGTTGCTGTGTGTGGTTCAGTGACTGGTTCAGGTTTGACAGCAGCTCCATCTGTAGATCAGAAGAGCGGCTCCAGTTTGGATTCACCTGCAGGTACTGACCCCGCCTACAGGGGTCATGTGACCAGGTCTTGCTATATCAGCTGTTAAGCAACTCTAAAATCTTTGAGCTTTAATAAACATGTTGGATGTTTTTCCTTCATTCTAAAACATTTACAAAGCTGATGAAATGTTGTTGTTTACATCCATGATTACTACCTAACAGTCTTCTTCACTGCCTTTGTCTCGGTCTGTTACCTGTAGATCAGCACCACTGACTTCAGGGGCTCTGACGGGCTGTGAATTAGTTTTGGAAATCTGATACATAGAAATCATAAATGTGTAAAATCATCATGGTACTAAGAAAAAAACCCACTGTATTTGTTTAATTTAAAATACTGTCCAGAAGGTTTAGGCACTACATTTTTTTCTGCAACAATGTTTTTATTGCCTCATTTCCAGGATCCACAATTACTAATTACTTGTTTAAAAATGTAATTAGTAACATAATCCAAGAAAATCCACAAAATAAAAGTAATGTAATCTGATTACTTCTAGTTACTTTTGGATTACTTCAACATCAAATAGGCAAATGAAGACAAGATTGCATCAAAGATTTCTGCTCCGTGTATTTTTAGAGATACATACATACACAATAACAAATTCTCCCGTTCCCAAAATCCATGTTTAAATGTTTTTATGATTTGCACTCTGTCACCATTGTGGCAGTATCTGGCCCATCATTTACATATGTTCATTTAGCTGCCTCTTTTATCCAAAGCAATTTACAATTGCCAAACATGTCAGAGGTCGCACGCCTCTGGAGCAATGAGGGGTTAAGTGTCTCATTTAGCGTCCAGCTAAAAGATTCTCAATGTGACGTTGCTGAAGCATACACTGTAAAAATTATCTAGGTGGTTCAACTTATAAACTTAAGTTCAATTGCTGCCTTAAAAATGTGAGTAAACTCAACTTTAAGAAAAGCTTTGTTTCAACTCATGATGTTACGTCATACAATTTGTTTAATTAATGATAATTTGTTGTTTGAACTTAATACTGTGAGTTAAAACAACTATCTATATTACATTGTCCATTCAAGGAAACTTGCTTTCACTTGTCTAACAAACATACAATTCTACACCCCTTCAACTCACATTTTTAAGTTCAGATAACTCAACTTGAAGATTGCAACTCATAAATTTAAGTTCATAAAGTGGATATAACTACAGTGTTCTAGTTGTCCCAATGTTAGTTAAATGAACAAGTTTGAGTTATTCTAACTCATAGTTTCAAGTTAAAGCAACTTAACCAAATTAATACTACTTTCCATTTCAAGTTAAGGGATTTAAATTCTAAATTTGTTTCAGTTTACATCTGTAAAGGGCCTTGAAGACAGACCACAACAACAGCACCACTGTGCTATTATCTTCAATTACTTGTGACGGGGCAGGGCAGCTTGCTGGTGTGCCTGTGCTAATAAATAACAGACGTGAACATGTATGTATAAGTGTGACCCCTTCACTTTTAGCACAGATTTAATTTTGAATAGATAAAATTGCCATGTGTGCCATCCATCATCCATATACACCAATAACTCATAATGACAGTCAAATCATGTTTTCAAATTTATTAAGAATCAAACCTGAAATTTCTCATTTCCATTAGCATTCAGACCCTTTGCTTTGCACACAGGTGCATCCTGTTTACTTTAATGATCATTGAGACGTGTGTAGAACGTTATTGGAGTCCACCTGTGGCGAGTTGAGTTGATTGGACATAGTGTAGAAAGGTACACCCCTGCGTTCATAAGGTCCCACAGTTCACACTGCATGTCAGGAAAAAACCAAGCCAGAGGTTGGCAAATATTTTATCCATTTAAAATTACAACTACACAACAATTAAGTGTGGAAACAGTGAAGGGGTCCGAGTACTTTCTGAAGCCACTGTCCAGATTTATAAATGGACCCGTTTTCCAATAAGATGCTGTGCAGAACATGTAGGATGACTTAATAACTAAAGCCATCGTTGATCCATTTTCATTGATCATGTCTCTTTAAGGATAAATATGAAGACGTCATATAAAGTTTGAATTAACTGATTTAATAATTGAGTTTATTTTACGTCATGATGGAAACATAAAACTAACCTGTGAGTTGATTGGACATAGTGTAGAAAGGTACACCCCTGCGTTCATAAGGTCCCACAGTTCACACTGCATGTCAGGAAAAAACCAAGCCAGAGGTTGGCAAATATTTTATCCATTTAAAATTACAACTACACAACAATTAAGTGTGCAAACAGTGAAGGGGTCTGAGTACTTTCTGAAGCCACTGTCCAGATTTATAAATGGACCCGTTTTCCAATAAGATGCTGTGCAGAACATGTAGGATGACTTAATAACTAAAGCCATCGTTGATCCATTTTCATTGATCATGTCTCTTTAAGGATAAATATGAAGACGTCATATAAAGTTTGAATTAACTGATTTAATAATTGAGTTTATTTTACGTCATGATGGAAACATAAAACTAACCTGTTCTGACTCTTCTTCTCTCTCTTCTGCTGCTTTACTTTTCTGTTTTCATCCTGGTGTTGAAGATCCTGTTCATCACTTAGACATCAGCATTGACCAATCAGGACCAGACCACACCTCTCTGGGCTCAGGACCTGACCAATCATTGACCAGCTCTGTCTCAGGCTCCTCCCACTCTGCAGCCCAGGGAGGTTGGTAAAGAGAACGCTTTTATTCTGAAAATCCAGAAAGATTTTTACTCTGCAAATCCAAAAATACTTTTACTCTGAAAATCCAGGAAGACCTTTACTCTGAAGTGCTGTTGCAGACTGCTCTTATTTAATTTAAATGAAGTAAAATACATATTTCATCAGGTGCAGCAGCTTCATCATCTTCATTGCACGCTGAAGCTGACGGAGTCCAGACGGGTAAAAGAACACATCTCGGCTGAGTATCATTAGCGTAGACATATTATCAGCTGAGTTTGTCTGTCAACAGTCCAACAGATTCAGCTCATCACCGTGGATTAGTACAAATATTTTATTATTTTATTATGATGAGGAGGAGGAGGATTATAACGTGTGAGGAAATTACTGACATGTTGCATTTCATTATTGCATTTATTGTTGAGTTTCACGACATGATTGTAATAATAATTGTTTACCCCTAATACTAGTTATAATACTAATAATGATACTAAGACTTAATGATAGTGATATTGATAGCAATACTGATACTAGTAATAATACTAATTCTGATACTACAGTTACTACTGACACACTGTGGTAGAGGCAACAGTGTGAACAGTTTCTTTATTTCTAGTGATATCAGGTAAAAATGAACTCTTTATAACAACATACAAGTCTTCATGTCACAAACGTTAGTTTAATTCTTCATCACGTGACTGTAATATATTTATCTTATAATTTATTATGCTTTATATACATTATTAATGCTTTATGTTTCCTCACAGATGGAGCCGACTCAGCTGATGCTAATGGTAAGAGTGAGTTTTTCTTTTGGACAGTTAGAAACTGCCTGTTAAGAAATATCTGAAATTATCTGTGAAATTTTGGGAATTAAATATACGTTTTGTTTTAATGTACAAAGAGTAACAAAATGACTGAGCTGTATTGTCCATCCCACTCAACTGTGTTTTACTTTTTGCTTGAATGATTAATGCACAGTTTTAATCAGCTTTAGTGGCCAAGCAGCTTTACACATACAAGCAATAAACAGAGACAGTAGAAAATGTAAGAAAGATAAAGACATATACAGAAAATATAAAATAACAATAAGATATGAAAAGATGTTTAAAAATATAAAAGAATAATAAAGAATATGTACAATATGGCTGTTATTTAAATTACAGTTCGTGCAGGGATGTACCTAAAATATTTACAGGATGAGTATACTGTACTGTAAGGTGGCTTTGGGGAGTTATGGGGGTCAGGGTCCGTGGGGGGCCTGGAGGCGTACAGGTCCTGGTGTGTACTGGTATACAGCCATGCTCACAGAAACTGATGTAGGACGTCACAGCCTCAGTAAACTCATCCAGATTGTTGGTAACAGTCCTGAAAACATCCCAGCCAGTGCAGTCCAAACACGCCTGGAGGTCCTCTACAGCTTCACTGGTCCACTGCTTAGATGTCCTCACCACAGGTTTACAGAGCTTGAGTTTCTGCCTGTATGCAGGACTCAAACGGGTTTACCATTTGTGTCAGTTTATCAGGAGAACAGTGCTGCCGAATCAGGTCGGTACACCAGTCACTGTTGATGTAAAAATAGACACCTCCACCTTTCGTTTTGCCGCAGAGCTCTGTGTTGCAGTCCACTCCGTACAGTTAAATCCAACCAGCTGCAGCGCAGAATCCAGCATCCATCCACACCGCCACGTCTCCGTGAAGTACACTCTGTTGCACACCGTCGATTCACTGCATGAGCAAAGGTGACAGCGTCACCAGGAAAGTGGGAAATAAATCAGCTGGTGATCATTCCCTGATGTTCATGAGCTCTTCTCTGGTAAGAGAGCTCCAGGTATCACAAACTCAATCACAGAACTGTGGTTACAAACAAAACAACGCTTTCAAACTCAAAGGCAAGAGTTTTATTTCCACGTTTAACTGCTGCAGCGTCTCTGAGGGTTTCCAGTTAGCATGTTTGTTCTGGTGATGCTTAACGGGAAAAGTTTCTTTGGTTAATCAAAACATGATTAACCATAAAGTTGTAATTTTTAAATCATGAGTCATGATGAGTCAGAGCTGGTTGAAGTCAGTGATTGGCTGCTACTCACTGACAGCTTGTGTTTTTTAGGAAATGGCCGACAGACTCTGCTTCTGGACACAAACGGAGGTAAACCTTCATCTCTCATTTTACAATAACACAAATACAGATTTCTACTATTAACGTGCCTGTATGCACTTCCAACAACGTCTGGGCATGGGGGGTCTTCTCCCAGACCTGGATCAGGGCATCAGTGAAACAGTCTGGAAAGTCTGCAGAGCTACTTGGAGTCGACCAGCTGCACCGATACATAACGTCCCAAAGATTCTCAACTGGATTCAGGTCTGGGGAGCCTGAGGGCCAGTCAATGGCATCGATGCATTTGTCCCCCAAGAACTGTCTACACACTCTGGCCACATGAGGCCAGGCATTGTCCTGAACCAGGAGGAACACAGGGCCCACTGCAACAAGAGGAACCCAGGACCACTGTACCAGGAGGAACCAGGGTCCACTTCACCATGAGGAACCCAGGGCCCACTGCACCAGGACGAACCCAGGCCCCACTGCACCAGGAGGAACCCAGGGCCCACTGCACCAGGAGGAACCCAGGGCCCACTGCGTGTAAGCTCTGACAATGGCTCTGAGGATTTCATCCCAGCAGCCAAGGTACCGTTTGCTAGCATATGGGGGTCTGTGCAACCCTCCAAGGATATGCCTTCCAAGACCATCACTGACCCACCACTAAACCAGTCATGCTGGATGATGTTGCAGGTAATGGAACACTCACCTCAGTGTTTCCAAACTCTTTCACAACGGTCAAATGTGCTCAGTGTGAACCAGCTCTCATCTGTGAAGAGAATGGTGCGCCAATACCCAACCTGCCAGTTCTGGTGTTCTCAGGTAAATGCCAGTTGAGCTGCACCGTGCTGGCTGTGAGCACAGATCCCACTACAGAACATCGGGCCCTCATTCCACCCCATTTCTGACAGTTTGTCCAGAAACATACACACCAGCAGCCCCCTGGAGGTTATTTTGTAGAGCTTTGGTAGTACTCCTCGTGTTCATCCTCATACAAAGGAGCAGATACCGGTCCTGCTCCCTCTCCAGTGCACCTGTCGTCTCTCCACTGCCCCTGTTGTCTCTACTCTGCACCTGTTGTTTCTCCAGTGTCCCTGTTGTCTCTCCACTGCCCCTGTTGTCTCTCCAGTGCACCTGTTTTCTCTCCTCTGCACCTGTTTTCTCTCTTCTGCACCTGTTGTCTCTCCAGTGCACCTGTTTTCTCTCCTCTGCACCTGTTTTCTCTCTTCTGCACCTGTTGTCTCTCCAGTGCACCTGTTGTCTCTCCACTGCCCCTGTTGTCTCTCCTCTGCACCTGTCGTCTCTCCAGTGCACCTGTTGTCTCTCCACTGCCCCTGTTGTCTCTCCTCTGCACTTGTCGTCTCTCCTCTGCCCCTGATGTCTCTCCGGTGCCCCTGATGTCTCTCCACTGCCCCTGTTGTCTCTCCTCTGGACCTGTCGTCTCTCCAGTGCCCCTGTTGTCTCTCCACTGCCCCTGTTGTCTCTCCACTGCCCCTGTTGTCTCTCCTCTGCACCTGTTGTCTCTCCACTGCCCCTGTTGTCTCTCCAGTGCAACTGTTGTCTCTCCAGTGCACCTGTTGTCTCTCCTCTGCACCTGTTGTCTCTCCAGTGCACCTATTGTCTCTCCAGTGCCCCTGTTTTCTCTCCACTGCCCCTGTTGTCTCTCCAGTGCAACTGTTGTCTCTCCAGTGCACCTGTTGTCTCTCCACTGCCGCTGTTGTCTCTCCTCTGCACCTGTCGTCTCTCCTCTGCACCTGTCGTCTCTCCAGTGCCCCTGTTGTCTCTCCAGTGCACCTGTTGTCTCTCCACTGCCCCTGTTCTCGCTACTCTGCACCTGTTGTCTCTCCAGTGCACCTGTTTTCTCTCCAGTGCCCCTGTTGTCTCTCTACTGCCCCTGTTTTCTCTCCTCTGCACCTGTTGTCTCTCCAGTGCACCTGTTTTCTCTCCAGTGCCCCTGTTGTCTCTCTACTGCCCCTGTTGTCTCTCCAGTGCCCCTGTTGTCTCTCCTCTGCACCTGTTGTCTCTCCTCTGCACCTGTTGTCTCTCCAGTGCACCTGTTGTCTCTCCAGTGCCCCTGTTGTCTCTCCAGTGCACTTATTGTCTCTCCAGTGCCCCGTTGTCTCTCCTCTGCACCTGTTGTCTCTCCAGTGCACCTGTTTTCTCTCCAGTGCACCTGTTGTCTCTCCAGTGCACCTATTGTCTCTCCTCTGCACCTATTGTCTCTTCAGTGCACCTGTTGTCTCTCCAGTGCCCCTGTTGTCTCTCCAGTGCACCTGTTGTCTCTCCTCTGCACCTATTGTCTCTCCAGTGCACCTGTTGTCTCTCCAGTGCCCCTGTTGTCTCTCCTCTGCACCTGTTGTCTCTCCAGTGCACCTGCTTTCTCTCCAGTGCACCTGTTGTCTCTCCAGTGCACCTATTGTCTCTCCAGTGCACCTGTTGTCTCTCCAGTTCACCTGTTGTCTCTCCAGTGCACCTATTGTCTCTCCAGTGCCTCTTTTGTCTCTCCTCTGCACCTATTGTCTCTCCAGTGCACCTGTTGTCTCTCCTCTGCACCTATTGTCTCTCCAGTGCCCCTGTTGTCTCTCCTCTGCACCTGTTGTCTTTCCAGTGCACCTGTTTTCTCTCCTCTGCACCTGTTGTCTCTCCAGTGCACCTGTTTTCTCTCCAGTGCCCCTGTTGTCTCTCTACTGCCCCTGTTGTCTCTCCAGTGCCCCTGTTGTCTCTCCTCTGCACCTGTTGTCTCTCCTCTGCACCTGTTGTCTCTCCAGTGCACCTGTTGTCTCTCCAGTGCACCTGTTGTCTCTCCAGTGCCCCTGTTGTCTCTCCAGTGCACTTATTGTCTCTCCACTGCCCCGTTGTCTCTCCTCTGCACCTGTTGTCTCTCCAGTGCACCTGTTTTCTCTCCAGTGCACCTGTTTTCTCTCCAGTGCACCTGTTGTCTCTCCAGTGCACCTATTGTCTCTCCAGTGCCCCTGTTGTCTCTCCAGTGCACCTGTTGTCTCTCCAGTGCACCTGTTGTCTCTCCAGTGCACCTGTTGTCTCTCCAGTGCACCTATTGTCTCTCCAGTGCACCTGTTGTCTCTCCAGTTCACCTGTTGTCTCTCCAGTGCACCTATTGTCTCTCCAGTGCCTCTTTTGTCTCTCCTCTGCACCTATTGTCTCTCCAGTGCACCTGTTGTCTCTCCTCTGCACCTATTGTCTCTCCAGTGCCCCTGTTGTCTCTCCTCTGCACCTGTTGTCTTTCCAGTGCACCTGTTTTCTCTCCTCTGCACCTGTTGTCTCTCCAGTGCACCTGTTTTCTCTCCAGTGCCCCTGTTGTCTCTCTACTGCCCCTGTTGTCTCTCCAGTGCCCCTGTTGTCTCTCCTCTGCACCTGTTGTCTCTCCTCTGCACCTGTTGTCTCTCCAGTGCACCTGTTGTCTCTCCAGTGCACCTGTTGTCTCTCCAGTGCCCCTGTTGTCTCTCCAGTGCACTTATTGTCTCTCCACTGCCCCGTTGTCTCTCCTCTGCACCTGTTGTCTCTCCAGTGCACCTGTTTTCTCTCCAGTGCACCTGTTTTCTCTCCAGTGCACCTGTTGTCTCTCCAGTGCACCTATTGTCTCTCCAGTGCCCCTGTTGTCTCTCCAGTGCACCTGTTGTCTCTCCAGTGCACCTGTTGTCTCTCCAGTGCACCTGTTGTCTCTCCTCTGCACCTGTTGTCTCTCCACTGCCCCTGTTGTCTCTCCAGTGCACCTGTTGTCTCTCCAGTGCCCCTGTTGTCTCTCCAGTGCACCTGTTGTCTCTCCAGTGCACCTATTGTCTCTCCAGTGGCCCGTTGTCTCTCCTCTGCACCTGTTTTCTCTCCAGTGCACCTGTTGTCTCTCCAGTGCACCTATTGTCTCTCCAGTGCCCCTGTTGTCTCTCCTCTGCACCTGTTGTCTCTCCAGTGCACCTGTTTTCTCTCCAGTGCACCTGTTGTCTCTCCAGTGCACCTGTTGTCTCTCCAGTGCACCTATTGTCTCTCCTCTGCACCTGTTGTCTCTCCACTGCCCCTGTTGTCTCTCCAGTGCACCTGTTGTCTCTCCAGTGCACCTGTTTTCTCTCCAGTGCACCTGTTGTCTCTCCAGTGCACCTGTTGTCTCTCCAGTGCACCTATTGTCTCTCCTCTGCACCTGTTGTCTCTCCACTGCCCCTGTTGTCTCTCCAGTGCACCTGTTGTCTCTCCAGTGCCCCTGTTGTCTCTCCAGTGCACCTGTTTTCTCTCCAGTGCACCTGTTGTCTTTACAGTGCACCTGTTGTCTCTCTACTGCCCCTGTTGTCTCTCCAGTGCACCTATTGTCTCTCCAGTGCCCCGTTGTCTCTTCTCTGCACCTGTTGTCTCTCCAGTGCACCTGTTGTCTCTCCAGTGCCCCTGTTGTCTCTCCTCTGCACCTGTTGTCTTTCCAGTGCACCTGTTTTCTCTCCTCTGCACCTGTTGTCTCTCCAGTGCACCTGTTGTCTCTCCAGTGCACCTGTTTTCTCTCCTCTGCACCTGTTGTCTCTCCAGTGCCCCTGTTTTCTCTCCAGTGCACCTGTTTTCTCTCCAGTGCACCTACTGTCTCTCCAGTGCCCCTGTTGTCTCTCCTCTGCACCTGTTGTCTTTACAGTGCACCTGTTGTCTCTCTACTGCCCCTGTTGTCTCTCCAGTGCCCCTGTTGTCTCTCCTCTGCACCTGTTGTCTCTCCTCTGCACCTGTTGTCTCTCCTCTGCACCTGTTGTCTCTCCACTGCATATGTTTTCCCTCTCATTTACACCAAAACAGGTGACACTGATTCACAATCGCACCAACTGTGATGGTGAAGTTTCCTTATTTTCTCTGAGCAGTGTAGTACAGTGTGTGTGTTGCTTTTTTCTGCAGTGACGGATCGACTCATTTCCTTCAGTGAACTTCAGACTCAGAACCTCCAGACTGATCTCCCAGGTACATTATTGATCGATCACTCTACATTATTATGAAATTGTTCATATGCTGATTACTTACACAAACTGAAGAAACTATAGATTTTCATTTTCCCTGCTTCATAAAGAGCTAATAAACCTTGTGAATGATTAAGTGCCTGTTCAGCTATGACATCACCACTTCGCCTGAGAGTCAGTTGACGTGAACCAACGCTGCACTTTCTTCACCTTCAAGTTGTTGTGAAATAATTTAGTAAATAAGAACTCTAATTAGTGATCAATAAACCATGTAATCAGATGTTACAATGATGTCAGCAGGTGGAGCAGAGTCAGCGACTGGTCTTCACATCGACCTCACAGGTGAGAGAGGGGGACTGATAGATCAATTAATCAATAGATTGATGAACAGTATTGATAACAGGTAGAAACCTGACTCTATGTTCTGATTGGTACCAGTGTCAGGTCTTGGACTTGGCCATGATGTCACAGGTAAGACTTGTTATGACAACCACAACCCCAACACCAAGAGTTTGTTTTACCTGTGAGTCTTTAATTCACCAATGGCACGTGATCATGTCGTTTTACAGAGTCGTCCCCCGTCGTCCTCCACACAGAGTCTGTAGACAGCTTCACACACACACTGCACCCAGGTACACCTGTCTGTCACTCACCTGTGTGTCTGTACACCTGTCTGTCTGTCACTCACCTGTGTGTCTGTACACCTGTCTGTCTGTCACTCACCTGTCTGTCACTCACCTGTGTGTCTGTACACCTGTCTGTACACCTGTCTGCCTGTCACTCACCTGTCTGTCTGTCACTCACCTGTCTGTCACTCACCTGTCTGTCTGTATACCTGTCTGTCTGTCACTCACCTGTCTGACACTCACCTGTCTGTCACTCACCTGTCTGTCTGTATACCTGTCTGTCTGTATACCTGCCTGTCTGTACACCTGTCTGTCTGTACACATGTCTCTCTGTACACCTGTCTGTCTGTACACCTGTCTCTCTGTATACCTGTCTGTCTGTCTGTACACCTGTCTCTCTGTACACCTGTCTGTCTGTACACCTGTCTCTCTGTATACCTGTCTGTCTGTCTGTCTGTCACTCACCTGTCTGTCACTCAACTGTCTGTCTGTCACTCACCTGTCTGTCACTCACCTGTCTGTTTGTGCACCAGCTTTCTGTATACCTGTCTGTCTGTCACTCACCTGTCTGTCTGTACACCTGTCTCTCTGTATACCTGTCTGTCTGTCTGTCACTCACCTGTCTGTCTGTACACCTGTCTGTCTGTACACCTGTCTCTCTGTATACCTGTCTGTCTGTCTGTCACTCACCTGTCTGTCTGTACACCTGTCTGTCTGTACACCTGTCTCTCTGTATACCTGTCTGTCTGTCACTCACCTGTCTGTCACTCACCTGTCTGTTTGTGCACCAGTCTGTCTGTATACCTGTCTGTCTTTCACTCACCTGTCTGTCACTCACCTGTCTGTCTGTACACCTGTCTCTCTGTATACCTGTCTGTCTGTCACTCACCTGTCTGTCTGTACACCTGTCTGTCTGTACACCTGTTTCTCTGTATACCTGTCTGTCTGTCAGTCACCTTTCGGCTTTTTCTTCAGCTTCAGGTGGTTACTCCTACACAGACCTGGTTACCATGACAACAGACTCCACAGGATTAGGTAAGCCCCACCCCTCCAACATGGCGGACAGGAAGGTTTAAGGCAGCGATGTATCATAACACTTGTTCTGCGTCTCAGTTCTAACATCTGTTAGTACTCTTACATGCAGTACACTGTGTACACTACTGTCTACACTACAGTGAAGAGCACGGTTTTAAAAGAGCCGTCTGTGACACTGCTGACGACGCCTCCAACTGCAAAGTCATTAACGACTCTTCTATCATGAATATTTGATCTGTGGAGGTTTGAAAACTTTCCTCGAGCCGAGAAAATAATTTTAAAATCAGTGATGTCATCACAATTTAAAGTCTATGGGCTGAGCAGGAACTCGTGGGCGGGACCAGCAGGAGAAACACCACTGCGCATTCAGGACCTGGAAGCGTACCTGGAAGTGATTCAGACTGAGACCGGATAGATCTCTGAAATAACCTCTAAAGCTGAAACATGTTGTTAAAATATGTTTGTTTGTAGTTTCAGCAGATCCAACAGGAACCCAACTTGACTCCAGTAAGTAACTTTGATTTCTACAGAAGAAGAAGAAGTCCAGTGCAAGCCTGTCAGTTCCTCTTCTACAGTGGCAATGTGTGCTAATGTTAATGTGTGTGTTTGTTTCAGGTCATCCAGCTGTGACAGATCGCACACAGATGGCTGGTAAGTTTTACAAATGTTCAGTGTTCAGCCTGAAAAGGCCTTAATCTTAACTCAGTCTACAAACCAGTCTAAACCCAGCCATCAACCAGTCCACAAACCAGTCTAAACCCAGTCTACAAACCAGTCTAAACCCAGTCTAAACCCAGTCTACAAACCAGTCTAAACCCAGTCTATAAACCCAGTCTGAAACCAATAGACAAACCAGTCTAAATCCAGCCATCAACCAGTCCACAAACCAGTCTAAACCCAGTCTAAACCCAGTATACAAACCAGTCTAAACCCAGTCTATAAACCAGTCTGAAACCAATAGACAAACCAGTCTAAATCCAGCCATCAACCAGTCCACAAACCAGTCTAAATCCAGTCTAAACCCAGTATACAAACCAGTCTAAACCCAGCTATAAACCAGTCTACAAACCAGTCTAAACCCAGTCTAAACCCAGTCTACAAACCAGTCTAAACCCAGCCATCAACCAGTCCACAAACCAGTCTAAACCCAGTCTATAAACCAGTCTACAAACCAGCCTAAACCCAGCTATAAACCAGTCTACAAACCAGTCTAAACCCAGTCTAAACCCAGTCTACAAACCAGTCTAAACCCAGCCATCAACCAGTCCACAAACCAGTCTAAACCCAGTCTATAAACCAGTCTACAAACCAGCCTAAACCCAGCTATAAACCAGTCTACAAACCAGTCTAAACCCAGTCTAAACCCAGTATACAAACCAGTCTAAACCCAGCTATAAACCAGTCTACAAACCAGTCTAAACCCAGTCTAAACCCAGTCCACAAACCAGTCTAAACCCAGTCTGAAACCACTCTACATAACCAGTCTAAACCCAGTCCATAAACCAGTCTAAACCCAGCTATAAACCAGTCCACAAACCAGTCTAAACCCAGTCTGAAACCAGACTATATAACCAGTCTAAACCCAGTCTAAACCCAGTATACAAACCAGTCTATACCCAGCCACAAACCAGTCCACAAATTGGTCTAAACCCAGCTATAAACCAGTCCACAAACCAGTCTAAACCCAGTCTGAAACCAGGCTACATAACCAGTCTAAACTCAGTCCATAAACCAGTCTAAACCCAGCCATAAACCAGTCCACAAATTGGTCTAAACCCAGTCTGAAACCAGACTACATAACCAGTCTAAACCCAGTCTAAACCCAGTCTATAAACCAGTCTAAACCCAGCCATAAACCAGTCCACAAACCAGTCTAAACCCAGTCTGAAACCAGACTACATAACCAGTCTAAACACAGTCTACAAACTGGTCTAAGCCCAGACTGAAACCAGTCTACAAACCAGTCTAAACCCAGTCTAAACCCAGTCTACAAACCAGTCTAAACCCAGCCATAAACCAGTCCACAAACCAGTCTAAACCCAGTCTACAAATCAGTCTAAACCCAGCCATAAACCAGTCCACAAACCAGTCTGAAACCAGACAACATGACCAGTCTAAACCCAGTCTACAAACTGGTCTAAGCCCAGACTGAAACCAGTCTACAAACCAGTCTAAACCCAGTCTGAAACCAGTCTACAAACTAGTTTAAGCCCAATCTGAAACCAGTCTACACAACCAGTCTAAACCCAGTCTACAAACCAGTCTACAAACCAGCCTAAACCCAGCTATAAACCAGTCTACAAACCAGTCTAAACCCAGTCTAAACCCAGTCTACAAACCAGTCTAAACCCAGCTATAAACCAGTCCACAAACCAGTCTAAACCCAGTCTAAACCCAGTATACAAACCAGTCTAAACCCAGCTATAAACCAGTCTACAAACCAGTCTAAACCCAGTCTAAACCCAGTCTACAAACCAGTCTAAACCCAGCTATAAACCAGTCCACAAACCAGTCTAAACCCAGTCTGAAACCAGACTATATAACCAGTCTAAACCCAGTCTAAACCCAGTATACAAACCAGTCTATACCCAGCCACAAATCAGTCCACAAATTGGTCTAAACCCAGCTATAAACCAGTCCACAAACCAGTCTAAACCCAGTCTGAAACCAGGCTACATAACCAGTCTAAACCCAGTCCATAAACCAGTCTAAACCCAGCTATAAACCAGTCCACAAACCAGTCTAAACCCAGTCTGAAACCAGACTATATAACCAGCCTAAACCCAGTCTAAACCCAGTATACAAACCAGTCTATACCCAGCCACAAACCAGTCCACAAATTGGTCTAAACCCAGCTATAAACCAGTCCACAAACCAGTCTAAACCCAGTCTGAAACCAGGCTACATAACCAGTCTAAACTCAGTCCATAAACCAGTCTAAACCCAGCCATAAACCAGTCCACAAATTGGTCTAAACCCAGTCTGAAACCAGACTACATAACCAGTCTAAACCCAGTCTAAACCCAGTCTATAAACCAGTCTAAACCCAGCCATAAACCAGTCCACAAACCAGTCTAAACCCAGTCTGAAACCAGACTACATAACCAGTCTAAACACAGTCTACAAACTGGTCTAAGCCCAGACTGAAACCAGTCTACAAACCAGTCTAAACCCAGTCTAAACCCAGTCTACAAACCAGTCTAAACCCAGCCATAAACCAGTCCACAAACCAGTCTAAACCCAGTCTACAAATTAGTCTAAACCCAGCCATAAACCAGTCCACAAACCAGTCTGAAACCAGACAACATGACCAGTCTAAACCCAGTCTACAAACTGGTCTAAGCCCAGACTGAAACCAGTCTACAAACCAGTCTAAACCCAGTCTGAAACTAGTTAAAGCCCAGTCTGAAACCAGTCTACAAACTAGTTTAAGCCCGATCTGAAACCAGTCTACAAACCAGTTGTGGCCAGTTTCCATCAGAATCGAGTCAGTGGTTCTGGTTGTGTTGTGTAGATCTTGGTTTAGGTTCAGGTGTTGTTTAGTTTGGTGTTAAACTAGTCTTCTTCAGGTTCCTGGTTTGGTTTGTACCTTACCTGAGATCAGGTGCTGAAGGCTTGTTCTTTCTCTTTTCTTGGTTCTGCTTGTTCTCTGCAGGTTCAGTCACTGAACAGTACAACCCATCTGGTCAGGGTCCTGAAGGTGGGTACAGCACACCCTGACCTCTGCACTCACCCTTAACCTCTGAACCTGACCCTGAACGTTTAATCCTGTCCTCAGTCTAGGTTCTGGATAGACGAGTCCAGCGTTTAGGACACTGTGATGTATTTAGGAGCTCTGGAGAACCCGGCTGTCTGATGGTCCCTGGTTTCTGGGTTTTTTTTTGGATCCTTGTTTAGACGATTAACGTTCTAATTTCACATTGTTGAAAACAGTCGCTCCTCTCAGACCCGCACCTTGGTACCTACAGGTTCTGACAGAACCAGAATCACTCTAAGATTAGATTATTGATTCAGATGTTGAGATCTGAACCATCACAGACTGTCAGGGTGGTTCTGTGGTAAATAATTAATAATAATCTGGAATCTGTGTCCCATCACAATTTTAGCTCTATAGCTTTGTTTCATCACCAGTGGAGACAAACTCTGAAGGATTGGCAGAAGGGCCGTAGGGTCAAAGGTCACTGTGACACATTCATCACAGTAACATCCGTTTAACAAACTGAAGTCACTTTGAGTTGTTGAGCTTCTCCTGATGTCAGGACAGCCTGTGAAGTAAACAATGAATTCATATCCAGTTAAACTTCCCAGTTCAGTGTGTTGACTGATTAATGTGATTTTAGGATGAGTGATCCTGGACCTGGTTTTACTCAGCATCAGATCCAGAACCAGCCAGTCCTTTTCTTAATCTACCACAATGTAAAAATACTCAGAGGTATTCCAAACTAAATATACTTTAAATATATATATATTATATTGTTGGGTTATTATTATTATTCCAACATGTCAGCAGCATTTTTAAGTTATTTCGTCGTACTTGAAGCTGTCAGACACATGCAGTGCAGGAAAACTTAGTACAAGTTTAATGTGGCATGAAATGGAAATACACAAAGTACAAGTACCTCTAAAGTGTACCTTAGCACAGTAGGCTACTTCCACCCTTAACTCGGGTTTAAGTCTTTACATTCAGCCTGTGGGTCCAAACAGAACCACGTTACTGTGACGGAAACAGACCTGAAGATCTGAGAACGAGTGAACTGATGTAAAAAGAATTTTTAATTTAAAGGTAAAAGACTAAAAGTGTTCTTATGTTTCAGGTACAGAAAATGTGGAACTGGAGGATACCTGCTGACTTCCACATCAAGCCGCGAGTTCGATTCCTGCGCTACCGTTTCCAGTGTACCGACCAATCAGCATGGCCCAGGAAGTCAGACCCCTCGCACTAGCTGTAGGACCCACCCACGGAGCGCCAGTGTTTTTTTTTTATATTTAAAAGTTTGTTAATAGACGTTTATTTTGTTTTAGAGAATCAGTGAGGAAATACATAGAAATAAATAACCTGATGACGCCATACAGGATGTGACATCACTTTCACTGTCGGAATTGAAAAATGTGATTTTGAACAGTAAATGTTTTTGTCTATTTTGAACATCAAACTGAGAATTTGTAATTTGTCCAAACTGATGAATAACCTGATGACATCATCAGGTCGTTCCTGTCGAGCAGGACGTTACTTAATAAAGATATGAAGCAACAACATGTCTCTGCTTTAAATAAAGTTTACGGTCGGCTGGATCAGACTCCGTCTTTTCATGTTTCATGTTGCTGCAGAGGACGACCTTTACTCTCATCCTGTTTCTGTAACGCTGATTGTGATCGGTAGGAAAGATTTTCCTGCTGAGGCTTTCAGAGAATCTGTTGGCTCTCAGCTCTTCTCATGTGGCCTCCTGTCAGAACATCTAAAGCAACATTACAGGCGCGTTCTCAGTCCTCACTCAGGATATAAGAATATCTTTTTCCTGAAGCTGAAATGTTTGTCCAGTTTTTCTTTTCATATAAAGTTCAACGTCCAACCAAAAACTTCTACAGTACATACACAAATAAAACAAATGGCGAACTGATTCTTCATGTAATTGACAGAAAGTGCAAGAAAACTCTGAATGTTTACGATGTGATAACTTACAGGAAACCTCTTTTACTTTGTTGTTAAGACAGACTTTGTCTCCATAAAGTGAAGTCCAGAAGAGTCTGCCTGGAGACATTTATGAGTAAAACCATGTATGCAGTTCCTGACGTATTTATTTGAACAGTTATTTTTAGTAATGTCAATTTCTCAAAGGAATATATTGGGGTAGAGTGGGACAAGACGCCCCCTCTAAGCTCAATGTCAGTTTTCTGGCACATTAAATAACATTTTATTGATGTTTTGTATTTAAGAAGGCTAATAAAATAAATAGCTGCAGCTGTCTTTTTAATCAAAAGTATATTTTAGGGGTAAGATGCCCCCCCCCCCGGTGTGAAATCACTTTAATATGTGTAAAGAGGATTACAGACCTGTGTTGTGGAAGTAAACCTGCCTGATGTTATCAGCTTTCCTTTAGTTTATGTCTCAGACTTTTAAACAGTGAAGCTGCTGGAGCTTCATCAGCAGAACGTCTGAGGTCAAATATGCGCAGGCCAGCTGGAAATGTGAGCTTCTAACCTCAGAATTTACCTCAGACTTGCTGCTTGGCTCACGGGTCTGGCCAGCGTCTCAACAACATCAGCTTATGAAGGGGCACAGCGCCCGGGGGGGTGGGGGGGGCGCCTGACCCCAAACATACTAATCTAGCATTTTACTACTTTAATCACAAACTATAAAAATCTTTCTCTCTAAACAAACTTCTCTTCAGGCTCCCCTTAATGTAAATATACATATAAAGTGAACACAGCTGATTTTAACGGACCAAAAAGTGAGATGAACTCCGGTCAGAGCGGCTTTGATCAGATAATTTAAATAATTGTGATGAATCAGAGGAAATGTTCAGTTCAGTGAGACGAGCGGCAGCCAGAAGAAATACCGTGGGGGGCGTCTGACCCCGTGTCAGCCTACTATTAATTGGTTGGATCCTTGAGACCTCGCTAACCGAACCTCTAAGAAGTTGCAGCACAGCATCAACAACCACAGCATGTTCCTTTGGCGTAAACTGGTAAACTGAATTCAGCGAGGAATTCATTGGCAGCCCATGTCTCATAATATAGTCATTTATTTTTCTACTGAATATTCTTGTTGTTCCAAATGTAGTCATTTGTTGGTGAAAAGTGATGCTTGTAAATTAACTTCCAGGCCAGCAGAGCTTGTTTATGAAAATCTGATCTGAACTTTACAGGTAATTTATCGATTTTATAGTCACACTTTAATACAAATTCAATTAACTATATTTTTAGGGAAGGTGTTCCAAATATCATCTTTTTCTGTAATTAACTTAGTTATCCATTTCATTTTGAAAGAATTGTTAAATGTTTCTCACTATTTGTTCGGTTATACTGTAGATTACTACGGCGTTTCTCATTCATGACTACACCAGTGTTGTTCACAGGGATACCTGTAACATCTGATTGGTTACATTCTTTAAGTGGTAATAATACAGATTTGTTTAAATTCATTTTTAAGCCTGAAAAATCCTCAACACATCTATCTGCTTTGATCACTTCCTCTTTATTAGACAGAAAACAGTTGTATCAGCTGCTTTTGACATCATTTACATGCACTACACCTTGAAACAGCCCTTTTTAATGTGTACAGCCATAATTTGTGTGACAAGAAAGAACAGAAAGGGGCTGAGGGGACGACCTTGTCATAAAAGTCAACAAATAAAATAAAACTATCGTCCACTATATATTCATTGGAATCAAACATGTCTAGAATCAACCTGCCAGGCACAAATCCAGATTGTTCTTCATCGATAATATTATCCAGTCCGGATTTTAATCTTTACAAATATCTTGGCATCATTATCAAACAGACTAATTGGCTTCCAAATCTCAATACTTAATTTATCTGTTTTTGATTTGGGGATCAATTTGACCCTGACGGAGAGTTGGTGGCAGCTCTCCTTTGGCTTCTTCACAGACAGACACTAAAAATGGGGCTGGGGTCTCAACCTCTGGCCTTTTCTTCCTTTATTTTGTCCAATTCAAGTTGTAGAGATGACAGTTCTTGCAGTTCTTCTCCAGATTCATTTACTTTCTCTAATAATCTTATCACATTTGTAATTATCCAAGAACCTCTTTCTTTGTTTAGTAAGTCGTTTCCCAAATGACAAAGCAAAATTTCATATTTCATTGATTCACAGCATTTTCCAAACTCGTTCAATAAATTTGCTTGTCTCCAAAATTTCTCAATTATGTTTGGGCTTCATTTTGAAATTCATTATTTTCTAAAAGTGTTTTATTTAGATTCCAAAAGTCCTTATTAAAGTTACCTCTAATCGATTTTTACTTTAATCATAATAGAAGCTAAACTTTTGAATACACACTTTGGAAAAAGGAACAAACAAGCCGCAGTTGGCATAAACCAGAAGCAGAGGAAGAAGGTGAAATGGGTTTTGGCGACTGGACTCCAGTTGCTAACAGGAGAGGAGAGCTACGCTGGTTCTCGAGTCAAGGAAGGAAACGTAGTTTGGAAGAGAACAGCTCAGATGAAGGCGGTGGGTTTGTGCGGAAAAGGGCTGTGAGAGGAATTTAAAATTTAGAAAAGAAGACGAGCATGTTGGTTTAAGTCTAGCGGTGTCTAGGGTATTAAAAAAGAAGCTAGGAGATGTGGAAGGGGAAAAATGTTGAGATTGAAGCTTGTTGGTAACATGCAAAACAGAGGAACAGAAAAATAAAGCCTTACAAGTGGAAAGTATCAGCAAGAAAATGATAAGTGAGAGAAAGATTCTGGGTGAGAGTCGAGTAACAAAGGGAGTGATGACAGGGATCCCTGTAGGGGAAGACTCAAAGGCAGTATTTGTGGAGGCCAGGTGAGCAGAATCAAGAGACTGTCATGAATGAATGAATGAATGGTAAAAGGGTTGAAAGCTTCTCTGTTCTTCAGGAGTTCCAGGAGTCCGTACTTCAAGAAAAGGTTAAAGTAGGATGCATGAGCTTCCCAGCTAGGCCCCATATTCCTCCACACTTCGCTGTTATACATGCCAGAGGTATGTGCATACAGAAGCAGGGAAGCAGAGGTCCCAAAGGCGGAGGTGAGCATGGGGTGGAAGAACGTAAGGAAAATGTGCAGGATAAATGTTGGAACTGTGGTGGTCAACACAGGGGAAATATGGTGTGAAGTTAACACAGTTAACAACACGAGCTATGCAATGAAGAAAGTCCAAGGGCAAAGGGGAAGGGTTGATACCACCTGAAGGGGGCACTTACAGCCTGTGGATACCCTAAATGAACCTTTGTGAAAACAGCCACAAGATCCAGGAAGAAGACCAAGACTACAGGGGCCGAGGAGAGGATGTGATTCCATACGTGTCTGGAGTATCAGAGAAACTCAGGAGGATTTTCAACAAACACAACATCCCTGTGTTTTTTAAACCCAAGAACACACTAAGACAGATGCTGGTCCACCCCAAAGACCGCACACCCAAACACAAGAAAAGCAATCTAGTGTATGCGGTCCAATGCAGTGAGGAATGCACAGACCTGTATATTGGGGAGACTAAACAACCACGACACAAACGCATGGCTCAACACAGAAGGGCCAACTCCTCAGGTCAAGACTCTGCTGTCTACTTACATCTGAAGGACAGAGGACACTCGTTTGAGGACCACCAGGTGCACATTTTAGACAGAGAAGATGGATGGTTTGAAAGAGGTGTCAAGGAAGCATCTACACCAGGGTTGAGAAGCCGTCATTGAACAGGGGAGGGGGTCTACGCCACCACTTATCCCCCACTTACAATGCTGTCCTTTCATCACTTCCCAGGAAACTCAACAAGCATTTCCTTCTGACGACCATGACGACTGTCGTTACCACAGCCAGGAGCGCTAACGAAGTAGCGGTATCAACGTTCCTGGCCAACGACCCCACAGATTTCCGATTTCAGGAAGTAGTTGTAGACCTCTGTCCTGCAGTAATAGTTGTAGGCTTGAGTTTAGAGGAATCTGATGCAGGAGGATTTCAGACACAGTCACTCAGTAGTGCTGAAAGGGATAAATTTAGGAATATTAGTGATCAAGAAATGAGAAAGATTGATAGAAATAAAGATATCGATAATTGAAATGTTGTTCTGGAGGCTGCAGAGAAGTCAATAAAAAAGAAGGCAGAGAAGCGTAAAAAAAAGATGGTGGACAGAGGAACGTGAAAGAGCAATTTCATTTCAAAATAAAGCTTTTAAAGCGTTAAAAAGGAATCACTCTTTTCAGAATCTTACTGAATATAAAAAGTTACAAGCAAATGTAAGGAGAACCACAAAAAGTAGTAAGAAAGAACACTGGAGGAAATTGTGTTGGTCAGTAGGAAGGGAGATAGACATTGGTAAAGTTTGGTTGGATGATAAAAGGAATGAACGGCATAAAAAGAGAATAGGGGTCTTAAATGATGGAGAAACAACAGCAGTGAGAGATGAGGAGGAGGAAGCAGAGATGCTGGCTAAAACTCCTGTAATAACAGTTCAAATAATATTAGTGAAGAGGGAAAGAGAGGGAAACAACAGTAAGCAAGAATGAAGAGTTACAGCAAGAAGAAAATTCCAATGACCTTCTGAACAAACCCTTTACAATGCTCTCCAGGGAACCTGTTGGGAGTGTGGTTCTGTGTTCAT